AAAAAAAAAAAAAAAAAACTTAAAAGGCTCTGTTAAAACCGACATATTCCCATGTATTTTTCCCAGAGGTATTCATTAGATATACTTTTATCATCCACACCCTCTTTCCATGGCATTTTTGGGTGGGGGGCCTCTTCAGCTAAATTGTTCCATATTTACTCTTTCCCCTAAACTTTTGGTGGGACTGTAATGATAACAATAATAATGATCATAGCATCATCGTTTATTGAGTGTTTTAAGATTTCCTCATTTTATCTTTGTGAACCCTAGGAGGTTGCTACTATCATCCCTGTATCACAGTCGAAGAAACTATGACCAGCACAATGGTTATTATGCAGTATGTACAAGATACATCTTTACTGAAGGGAGCTTAAATAATCAGCCCAAGATCACACATTCAACTTTAAGTGGTTTCCAACCCTGGGGTCAGACTCCAAAGCCAGGCTCTTTTCCCAATATGTAACATTTGTCTCAACTGGAGAAGAGAAGAAAGAACAGAGAACTAAGGTTAAGTACCATTTATTTAGTACTTATTCATGTGTCAGGCACTTCTACTAGGTTATACTTTATATATTACAAACTCATTTATTCCTCATAAAAACCTCATTTTATTGCATTTTACACTTAAAGAAACCAAGGTAGAGGCACAAGCAGAGCTAATACCTGGCAAAACTAGAATTTGAGTCCATGCAGACTGGCTGCTCCAGCACCGATACTTTTAACCACTGTGCTCTACTGCATGCTAAAAACTTCTCTACACCTGAATTACATGTAAACAAAACTTTTAATATCTTTTCACCAAAGTACCTAAGTCTTAGATTAATTGAGAAAAAAAATAATGCTTTTCCAAGTATGTACACCAGGCTTCTTTACAGGCACACAGGATATGCCCCTGGTGATTAGATCATTGCGCTGCTCAGGAAGTTGCACACCATAAATCTGGTTAAGAGCCCCCAGCCCACCCTTCGCCACACTCAGACCCACACTAACCATGAACTGCAAGAGACAGACAATTCAAAGATGTCCCTGTGTAATCTTCTACAAAATGAATGTCACTCAGGAAATATCTGAGTGTGTATATTTACTCTCTTCCATCACCTTTTCCTCCCAAATACCATAAAAAACCACCACAAAAGGAATGAATGAGTCTAAGCTACTTAAAAATCATAACAAATGTCCAATGGTAACAAATTTAAATGAGAAAAAAATAAATGCAAAATTCTCATAATTTTGTAACTTGTCCAAATTCTACATTTAAAAAGTACTAAGCTTCTTTGAAAGGCTCAATTCTTAGACTACCTTCTTATCATAAAAGTGCCTTGAAAAGTGCAGAGGAAAGTCCACTTTTGCCTCAGACTCTGAATATCTTGATATGCATATTCAAAACAAAAATCATTACTGCTGCATTATAAGTTATTGGGCTTTCAACTCTACTAGTATGACAATATACTTAATTAGACAAAAACATTAAGCATGGATTTATTATTTTTATATTAACACATACTATATACAGAAAATAAATATAAAGAACAGGACTGGACCTGAAGGTACTGAGAACTTGACACAATGAAAACAGGAACTGTTGCAGCTCCCTCCATTGACATCGTAAAGTTGCCACATTTTCTGGGCTCTCTTTTGAATTAATGTGGCATCTGTTCCAAGTACAGCATGCTAACATTTTACTAAAAGATATTTTCATTCTACATTTGTATCTGGTTTGCTTTTCATTTGAACTACTGCTATATTTCAATGGTCATTATTTCTTTATACTAAATTGTCAATTTGGCATTCCTAATCTATCTCCCCCACACACAAAAAGGGTGAGGAAGAACCATCAGCTTAAAACCCTCTAACAGCAATAATTGCAATATACTTTGCATATAGATTAAATAAAGAAAATAAACAGCACAAAGATTTTTGTAGGCTTTTTAGTATCAAGTCCTGATAAGTTAACAGCATCTGTTCCTTTCAGAAAAAGAATTCTTCTCTGAGGTGCTGGGGGTGGAGGGAAAAGTAAACAAATACTAAATAGAATAATTCAAGTTAAAGTTTGGTCTTCATGAAATGATGGTTTCAATAATTTGCACATAGCCAACTCTATCAAATGATAATTGCTTTTTAAGATACCCTCCAAAATGCTGCAGCAACAAGCCAAATACAACCACTTGTACTTAACATGCATGCTGCATACTCTACAATGTTACGTCACATCAGGCACAGAGAAGACGCTTACCAAGCTATCCTGCGTTCTATAAACTGCCTAACAACAACAGAAAAAGGCACTGCCATCTCAATGGGAGTAGGAGCTATCAGGGTAAGCAGCCTTTTCTCTTTGGTCACCTATGAAGAAAACAAATAAGGCTTATGTTTCTGTCTTTTAAGCTCTCCTCTCTCAAGGCCTTTACTCTCAATCTTTCAGCCTTTCACAGAAAGAAAGGCTGTTTCTTTAAAATTAAAAAGCTGCAAAAGATCACTCCAACTTAAAAGCCCCACACCTTTTACCAACTGTCCTCCAGCTGTCCCCATGGCTGCCTCTTCTGCAGGAAGAATAGCCTGTCCAGAACACTCGTCTCCAAGTGGGTGTGAGCACCCTCAGGAAGGGAGCCACTGGGAAGACAGTATTACAATTTATGTTTTTAAATCTCACCCTTTTTAAAATTTCAGCTTTCCTGGATGCTTAATATCATATGTAACATACTACTTCAGAGTATTATACATGTACTGGTAGTCATAATTTTTAAAAGTTTGGAGACAACTGGGTCTAGAATGAAAAAGAAAAATAGGCTCTGCCATTAACTTACTCAAAGTCTTGTGTCTGACTCAGTTTCAACATCCATGACATGCATTAAGCCCTTTGTACAATAATGAAACTATTATGAGAAAGAATACTCTGAATCACTCAAAATAAAAACCACATTTCTGAATGCTATCAATGAGAATTACTTTCAAGTTGGCATTATAACTTTGACTATGGTATAATTTAAATAAACTATTATACTATCAGATCTAGTTCTTAGATTATTTTCCTTTTTCAAAAATTTCAGATCAATATAAGGACACATACAATTAGGTTACATTGTTTGCATTTCTTAGGTGAAGTCCAAGCTGCAATTGAGCCCTTCATTCAGGTGTGCCATACACCCCTACATTGTACCCAATAGGTGAGAACTTATAAGTTCTTAGAATTTTAAGGCAAACCTTTAGTACTTCACTAAATGTGGGCCTAAAGAAACATAAAGTAACTTAGAGGCAAAAAGTGAATTCTAGGATTAGAAAGACATTTTTTAAAACTTCTATAACAAGAAACATTATTACTTATGTAAAAAAAAAAA